GGGGGGGGGCGGTCCTTGGTCTCAGCAGGGAGCCTGAGGCCTGTTTGTTGAGAGCATAGTTTGAGGAGGGGAGTCCCATTTCGGGGGGGAATTCTAGTCTGGGGGAGATGTGGACCTTATTTGTAGGCCCCTTTTTGAGGGACGGGGGGCCCGGCCTGTTGTAGGCCATTTGATGTACCTAAAAGAAGCTGGCCTCTGGTTATGGGGAACCTCGTGAGGGTGTGGGGCTGCCCTGTTGAGGGGCTAGAGCCAGGGCCCCGTCTCCTTTGCCTGCCCTGGGCCTGTGGTCTCCTCCCTGGGCCCAGCTCCTCCCAGTGGCCCATGGCGTGTGGCTCTAGGACCCTCCCTACCAGCATGTCATATGTCAGGTGGCAGGGTGGGAACTGTCTCCTTGAGGGAATGGGGAGGTCCCTCGGCACAACTGCCGGGCTCGTCCCAGCGTGGAGGCGGTGTGTCTGCCCAAGCAGAGCCCAGGGGCTTCTCCTTTTGGCGGCTCTGCCACCTCTTGATGTTCCCGGGGAGTAGCAGCCCTTTTTTGTGAGGGTTCAGGCCCTGGGGCCCTGCGCGAGCGGCTGCTGTTCGTCTTCTCTCCGGGGAGCCCCTGTCTGGGCTCCTCCCCCCCTCCCCGGGGTCTCTTCTGGGCGGTAGCTGCCCTGTCTTCTGTCCCCTCTCTTGCCTCCACACCAGTGGGTCCCTGCAGCCTGGCGGCTCCCCCTTCCCTCTCTGTCGGAGTGCACGGCCAGGACCCTGGGAGGACCTCTCAGCCCACCTGGGTGCCCGGCCCCAGACTGGAGGGCTTGCGGCCCTGCCTTGCGACCACCTGTCAGCTTCGCTGTCAGTCTGCCCGGGACCTGGGTGGGCCGGGGTGCGTTCGTTTCCTGCCTCCAGGCCTGCCTTTCCTTCCTGGGGGTGGGGTCCTGCCGACCCCCACCACCCTGACTGCAGGGGCTGAGCCTGCACCATGCTGCCGTGTGGGGAGCCCTCCCCAAGCGGAGCTGGGTGGGTGGGCCAGGAGGGGAATGGGCTGCCCAGCCTCCCACCACCCCCTCACAAGCCAGTGGCTCTCTCTCCCCTTGTGTCCTGCTCCAGATGGCAGCTCAGCGACAGCGGGCACTGGCCATCATGTGCCGGGTCTACGTGGGCTCCATTTACTACGAGCTGGGGGAGGACACCATTCGCCAGGCCTTTGCCCCCTTTGGACCCATCAAGAGCATTGACATGTCCTGGGACTCCGTCACCATGAAGCACAAGGTGAGGTTCCATCTGCCCTGCCTCGCCCCACCCCCGGGCTCTCCAGGCCTAACAGCGTGTTCCTGCGTCCAGGGCTTTGCATTTGTGGAGTACGAGGTCCCAGAGGCCGCCCAGCTGGCCTTGGAGCAGATGAACTCCGTGATGCTGGGAGGCAGGAACATCAAGGTGAGGCTGGGGTGGACCTCGGGGTCAGCACGTGGCACGGGTGTGCTCTGTGTTCAGTCCCCCCGAGATGCAGAGCAGCCCTCCAGGAGCCTGCAGCGACCCGGCCTAGGCTGACTGGGCACTCTTCATCCCTGCCTCTCCCCCAGGTGGGCAGACCCAGCAACATAGGGCAGGCCCAGCCCATCATAGACCAGCTGGCTGAGGAGGCGCGAGCCTTCAACCGCATCTACGTGGCTTCTGTGCACCAGGACCTCTCGGACGACGACATCAAGAGTGTGTTTGAGGCCTTCGGCAAGATCAAATCTTGCACACTGGCTCGGGACCCCACGACTGGCAAGCACAAAGGCTATGGCTTCATCGGTGAGCTTGGGGAGGCGGGGTGGCGGTGAAGCCCACCCGACACCGTGGCCGGCCCTCACTGCCACTCCTGCTCTGCAGAATATGAGAAGGCCCAGTCGTCCCAGGATGCCGTGTCTTCCATGAACCTTTTTGACCTGGGTGGCCAGTACTTGCGGGTGGGCAAGGCTGTCACACCCCCTATGCCCCTGCTTACACCTGCCACACCTGGAGGCCTCCCGCCTGCTGCTGCTGTGGCCGCAGCTGCAGCCACAGCCAAGATTACAGCTCAGGTAAGGGCTGGTGGAATTGTGTGGGTTTGGTGGTGGGCACCAGGCCCCCCTGATCCTGTGCGGACTGGCTCTTTGGTCTTGAGTGGAGGCAGCCAGACCGGGGACTAAGCACAGTGGCCTTGGTTGCAGGAAGCAGTGGCTGGAGCAGCGGTACTGGGTACTCTAGCCACACCTGGACTGGTGTCCCCTGCCCTGACTCTGGCCCAGCCCCTGGGGGCTCTACCCCAGGCTGTCATGGCTGCCCAGGCCCCGGGAGTTATCACAGGTGAGCCTGGGTGGGTCGAGGTTTCCCTCCTTCCCCTGCCCCCTCCTCTGGGCTTGATGCCTTCAGCTGCCCTTAATGAGCTTCCTTAGTCCCCTGTGCCCCGGGCTGTTCAGCCATGCTCAGTGGTGCTGTGCTCCTTCCTGGGAATGGTGGAGGTTGGGGGAGTGACTGCTGGACCTGGTGGGTTTGCTGCAGGTGTGACCCCGGCCCGGCCTCCCATTCCGGTCACCATCCCCTCTGTGGGAGTGGTGAACCCCATCCTGGCCAGCCCTCCGACACTTGGTCTCCTGGAGCCCAAGAAAGAGAAGGAGGAGGAGGAGCTGTTCCCTGAGTCCGAGAGGCCGGAGATGCTGAGTGAGCAGGAGCACATGAGCATCTCTGGCAGCAGCGCCCGCCACATGGTGATGCAGAAGCTCCTTCGCAAGCAGGAGGTGGGCAGCCGGGGCCGGCGGGGCGGGGCGGGGTGGGGTGGGGTGGTGCAGCCAGCCACAGCTCTCAGCTGTTCCCC